TTTGCATTTTTCAGAACAAGAGAGTGAGCATAAACAAGGATGAGCTGAAATCAACTTCAAAAGCCATTGAAACTGTTCACAATCTGTGTTGCAATGAGAACAAAGGAGCATCAGAGTTGGTTGCAGAGCTGAGCACTCTTTATCAGTGCATCAGGTGAGCAGAGGAACCAATCCTAACTTCTCTTTGTTGGAAGGAAAGTACCATTTATGAGTAATGCTCAGGGAAATGCCTTTGTGGGCAGCTCTGTGAGAACATCTTTACTTCAGAACAAGTGAGATGTGGTCTGAAAGCAGCTTTCGAAATTATACATTTGACTTCTTGAAATTCTTCCTTCATGAAGACATAAATTCTGGCTGACATTGACAAATTGCCCCTCTCACATTGCAGAGCATGTTTGGCTCTGCCATTGGAAAAGGATGACAGATTGTTTTGTCTTCCTAATGAAGCCTTCTTAGCAGTAGATACGTCTTCTCTTCTTAACACTGCGAAATAGCAGATATTGAACAAACTGGAACAAACTTTGAGTGTATATTAATTATGTTGACTGCTTTTAGCATTTTGTGCTGCGTAGGAAGTATCAATAGAAAGAATTTTTCTCCAGCCTATTTTTTTTTTCCTTCTGTTTCGATAGGACTCGTCTTGATGTGATGACAACTTTTCAATCAAAGCTTTTCAAGTGTTATCAGTTCTGGCCTAAGCTAAACTATGAAATTCTAGCTATCATTAGAATATACTGGAAGATGGTGATTAGTTGTTTGGATGGTCCTCTTCTAAAGTGATCTCTTCCTCTGCAGGTTTCCAGTGGTGGCAATGGGTGTATTAAAGTGGGTGGATTGGACAGTGTCAGAGCCCCGATACTTCCAGCTGCAGACTGATCACACTCCTGTTCATCTGGCATTATTGGATGAGGTAAAAATGTACAAATAAGTCCTGTTGAGAGCAAAAGCAATTTTTGTCTTTATAACTAGAATTATATCCAATTCACGGTCAGTAAACATACAAAGATGGATCTGTTTCTGTTCAGTTATTTGGATTTGTCAGCTCCGTGTAGTGGAATAACTTTTTATAAAAGAATTTACCTCTGACAGTGAATATGAGTGCAAACTTTTCTACTAGGACCAGCACATTGGTGTTTAAGTGGAGTTTTGATGAGCATACTTTCTCATCTTGCTTGCAGATCAGTACGTGCCATCAGCTGCTTCATCCACAAGTTTTACAACTTCTTGTCAAGCTCTTTGAAACAGAACATTCGCAGCTTGACGTAATGGAGCAGGTGATTCTCAGAGGATTCCTTTTTTATGTTCCTTCATATTATATATGCTTGCTTAGAACAACAGTTGTTATCACAGCAGCTGTAAGAGTTTAATTTAGGAATATGATCACGGTTAGCAAGCATCAGAGTAGATATTGAATCCATGAAAAAAAGCAATGAAAATAGTACTGTTTTAAGAGTAAGTCCTGACCTGTTGGTTTTCTTCCCACCTCCAACCCTTCCCTTCTTATCAGCTGGAACTGAAGAAGACTCTCTTGGATAGAATGGTGCACTTACTTAGTCGAGGATACGTCCTGCCTGTTGTCAGCTATATCCGCAAATGCCTGGAGAAGTTGGACACAGATATCTCTCTCATCAGATACTTTGTTACAGAGGTCAGCAGCAAAAATTGTTTGTTAACGTATAGAAATAAGCTTTAATATTTGATGTGTATGTTTGGATAGTAAGTCAGCTTGCCTCAAATTCAAAAATTCTTGATGGTAAGAAAGTAAATTCTGGGCAATATATGTCTACTGAATTTTGATTTCTGAAAATACTGAAGTAATGGGTAGAGTACCACAAGAATGTGTAGTTGATAAATTGTATGGAGAAAAAAAGGTCTTAAGTGTAACTACTTGAATGCCTTTGAGAAGATTGTGAATTAAATACTGCCTCTACCACTTGTGTATCTGGAAGAATGATCCCGTTTTGTCTGCCATTTCAGGTGCTGGATGTGATTGCTCCTCCATATACCTCAGACTTCGTACAGCTTTTTCTTCCAATCTTGGAGAATGAAAGTATTGCAGGTACTATTAAAACAGAAGGTGAACATGATCCTGTCACTGAGTTTATAGGTAAGTCATGCTTCTTTGTGTATTTGTTACCATTTGTAAACAACGCTTAGGAGGAGGATTGCTAAACTAGGAATGCCTGCCAGACATTTTAACAGATCATTTCATTTTTATGGACCTATATTTAGCGATTTTCCTTTAATTAGGAATCTGAGTAGTAGTGAGAAACTTAAAGACAAATGCTGTTTCTAAAGAGGTACTTAGAGAAAGTAAAGGAAGGAAGTAGTCTTTCATAGTACAGCCATTTCCTGGACTAAAGTGATCTGGTTCTTAAAATCCTGATAAATAACATAATAGAGAAATCCACATGCAAGCAAGTAAATTGGAGTAATGTGCTGAACACTTTATTTCATTTCTTCTTTTAAGCTCACTGCAAATCTAACTTTATCGTGATGAACTAAGCAGTGGAAAAGTCAAGAATGCAGAGCACACAGTCACTGCTCTGACAGATTCTCCACCAGTGAGGTTCTGTAACTGGGCAATCCAGCAACAAAAAAAAAAAGAAGAAAGAGCTGAAAGGCATTTGATTGACTTGCGTGGTGACCTTAAGCCTTCTGTCAGAGGATTGTTAATGCAGTTTGGAAGGTGAAATAATACTGAAGGGTTTTCTAATGTTAAATAGTATAAGCAGTATAAATCTGAATATTCTGAAGAGGGCAGCAGGAGGCAGACTTGTCTCAAAGAATGTTCTTTTCAGCTGCTTGCAGAACTTGTCTCCGACTCTATGTGTAATATATGTAAAAACCTGAAGAACAGGGCAGGTGGTTCCCACTAAAAACATTTTTCAGATAGTTCTCTGATTAAATCTTGAATGCTGTCGGCTTTCATCTTGTGAGGCTGAAAAAGGAAAAAATCTGTGTACTTGGTTCTGTGCTGCAGAGAATCCATAACGCCTCTCCCTCACTTTTGTATTATATTAGAATTCTAAATATCCTACACACATATTGCTATGAGAAAAACCCACATCTTATGTAGTACAGATGGAGTTGTAACAATCAAGGTTAGTTTTGTATTAACACATGAATCTGATGTGAGTGTGGTATCCTTCAGAATCTATTTTTTGTTAAATAGATGCATTAAATGTTACTGGTAAGTTTCATTACCACATCAGAATTCTATTGCTGTCTGAAAAATAAGCGTGCAGAAACTTTGTTACTGTGATGTGGCTTGGTTTTTTAATATTTCTCTCTACTCTGTCCTGCTTGATATTAAACAGAGGGGGATTACCCCCAAGGTTTTAATGTATCTTTAAATAAAGATCTGTCCTTTTCCAGAGACTTCTTACAAAGTATCGGTCCACTCTTTGTTTCTGTTCATCAACCTGGATTTCTCCATGTACTGTAAAGTATTTAAAAGGGGCACAAAGAAGCCTGGGCATGTCTTACAAGCACATCTGCTTCCTGAAAAACCTGTTTTCTAAAAAACAAAGGTGAAAATTTTAGGTCCAACTGCTTTATAAATTTAAAAACTAAATCATTTTGCTCTTTTCTGCTGTCAGCGATTTATGAATAGAAACTCCAGGCTGCCAAGACAGCTTGAGACAGAAGCTGGTTGTGCAGATTCTTCACTCCTTTCTAAAAGGAGTGCATCTTTCCTTTCTTCAGCCCTTCCCTCACATTGCTGCAGGTTTTCTAGGCACGGCTTCAAACCTTCCTTTCTGTGCACATCTCTGAGTAGATATCTAAGTGCTTAAACTTGCATGAGATTTTTTCTTCATAATATTCATGTAGAATCATCATACATATCTGGTTCCTGACTTCCTCTCTTAGTTGAATTAACAGCTGCAGAAACTATTTGCCCTACAGATCTTCATTTTAGATTGTAGCCCTGCCTCATACATCATCTTAGTGATAATCAAGAGCAGTTTGTTCCTGCTTCCATTGCAGATTTGCCAGCTGTTCAAACAAATCATACTTCTTCACATTTCTCAGTGTTCAAGCTTATTATCACTTCCTCTAAGCACTTGACTTCTGCATTCACCTAAGTGATATTTGATCAGTTAAGACTTAACAGTGCTATTGTCAGTACTGTTACACTCCCTTATTCTGCCGAATGAGACTTAACTTACAGTGGGCACTGCAGTTTGGCAGAATTAGTCCTTAGTGGCACTGTGAAGTCACTTTACTAAGGTAAAGCAAAGAGGCACATGGAACTAACCAACACACTTTGTGAAATTCTTGTTTTTTTGTCTAGAGTTAAGATATCTATTCCAGATCTTCTTTAATGCTGAAGAGGTGAATGGTGGGTGATCAACACCTGTTGATTAGAGTACGATTCTTATGTGTAGGAAAAAGACAGGCTTTGAAGTATCCCAGTCTGCTGAAATGTGGCCTAACTAGTCTAAAACATTCTTAGATATCCATCTCAATTTCACCCTTGACTCAAGTAGCCTTATTCATTTGCGGTCTTCACCACTCTGCAGCCCTAACTTACCTTCTGATGATGAGCAGACTCTTACTCTGACAGATAAAACCAAGGTAAGTTGCAGAAATTACCCACTGAGAGGTAACAGATGATGGAAACTGTTTTGCTTCTTGTCTACACCAGTAAAAAAGCTTTAACTTACCTGTAGGTTTGAGCGAGACATAATTCACAGGTTAGTTTGATTTACAGTAGTCTTTGGAGACTGATTACTAAGTTGTATTGTACACCATAGGAATGTTTCTTTGTTCCCTGGTACCCCTCAACAGTTTCCTCATAAGTTGTAGCTCAGGCTCCAGTTTGTGTAATGGAACTTCACTTGAGATAGCTGCTACATACTGTGGCACTGAGCAGCCCTCTCACAAGTTCAATTAAAGCAGTACTACCTCAGCTAACTAGCCTGCCATGTAAGACTTCTTGAAAGGTACAGCAGTAAACAAGTATTAATAAACTCTTAAAATTACATACAATCACATAAGATAATGTTGTCAGTTTATTAAATACAATTAACAATGCCAGTTAGTGACACTTGATGTAGCACTGATTGCCACTTAGTAATTGACTCAGTTTTAAGGAAGAGAATTTTGCAGCCTTTCCTTGTATTAGTGAGCAGGAGGAGAGCTCTGGCTTGTAGCAATTTATACTTTGCCTTTCTAGAAGCAAAATATCAAAGCCAGTCATAAAATTAAAGCAAGGAATTAGAACAAATGAAAGATTTAAATCCTGTTATCACTTTGGTTGGATAAAAGCAAAGAGACTTGCAGCAACATTTTTTAACTAGGAGGCCAAGGAGGATTTAGTTTTTGAGTATATCATGTCCAGACTTAAGTTTGTTTTTAAATCTGCATAAAGTGTTACGCAAATATCATACAATTATTTGCTACTTCAGTATAAGCTCTAGATCCAAATACTGTGTGTATTTTTTCTGTCTTAGTACAATATGTCATTTGTATTTATAAAAAAGTACATATATAAACACAAGGATTTACATACAGCTTCTGGAAGACAGTATGATTAAAGTACTGTGCAACAAGGCAGACAACCGTTTTCATAGGTAAATTACTTCTTTAATTTTAAATTCTAAATTATTATCTGAAGGCAGCTTTGCATTTATTTTACCTTGAAGACTCAGTGTTGCATTATCTGGGCTAGTTTTGCACAACAGCATGATAGAGTTGTGCTGTGAAAGTTTTAGGCTATTCTTTAAACAGAACAAGGTTGTGCTGGGAAGATTCCAAAGTTACTAAAAAAAAAAAAGATGCACAGTGTAGAATCAAGGAAGGATAACATCTCCATATGCACAGTCCTCTTCAACAGCAAGGTTGTACTCTGCTCCTCTTCCACCTTTATATGCACTTGTCACAATTCTGAGCCACCCTCTTTCACCCTGCAGAGAATTAATTTGCATCAGTATAAGCAGAGAGATTGTGACTTTGAAAACATAATTATGCTGTGTAATTATGCTATTGAATCTGTTCTGTTTTCTAAATGGGAATGATCTAGAAGTGAATCTAGGAATTCACTGAAGAAGCACTGCACTAGGTTCACAGGACAATCTTGCTTGAAGGGGCAATTTGCCATGGTGAATTTACATCCCCTTTAGATAAATATCCTACATTCAAGACTTGATTTTTGCACACAACCAACCCATTTGCAGCTGTCTAACAAAAGGTGTATGCCCAACAAAGGGCAGCATCTGAGATTGAGTAGATGTTAGCTAAGTGACTTTGGCCAAGTATCTCAGTCCTCAGCTTAGGTAGTTCCCATTTTTAATTAACTGAAAATCTAGTTCAAATAAAGTTTTATTTTCCCTAGCTGCAATCTACTTTTGCAAGTAGAAAAACTACCTCGCTGCAAGTGGAGAGAACTCCACTATTCCTCTAAAGTAATTCTGTAAGCATCTTTCTTCCCGTGCTTCCTTACCCAGGGTTCACCCCATGAGTTGCGAACAATCCAGTATTCTGTTCCATTTTCTACTCCCCAGCCAGCCACAGATACAATGTGATTCACTGTGGGTGAGGGGTTGTACTCGGTATAGAGTCCTCCAGTGTAAGCATCCAGCTTCTCAGTAGCCATTATACCACAGCTGTAATGAAACAGAGCAAGCATCTTTATACACAGGAATCATGTTGGAGGCCTGGCTAAAAAGGAAAAAAAGAGAAAAAACACCCTTTTTTTTTTTTTTTTTTTTGACTTCAGGGCTCAGTTTATCTACAAACAAGCTGAAATGTGCATTAGTGCAGAGCTGCTAACATCTGCTAGAGCACAGAAATTCACTTCAGTCATTAGACTGAGTTCCAGATATTTCAGTTCAAGTATTATTGGTACACAAACGTTTTCCTTTTTTCTACCTTTTAGTTTTTATATATATGTATTTATTTACCTAATTGGTCCATTAGCATAGATTTCTGCCATCATTTTTTCCCTTCCGCTGACAGCACCATAGTCAGCAACTTTCCAGAGGGTGTAGTTCTTAATCACATGGCATTCTCCAAAAGTGACACACGTTCCACACTGGTTAAACTTTTTGCACTCTGCAAAGTAGAAGAAATTATCACCACAAGAGAATGCTTTTCTTCAAGTGAATTAATGATACCATTCTGTGATTCTGTAAATCTGTGATTCTGTGATACTATTTCTTTTTTACTTAATTTGAGGAAGATCCTATAAGGAATAATTACTGATACATATCTCTGATGAATTAATCGTTTTTCTGGAAATTATACTTGGAGCTTCTATCATCACTAGTTACTGCTCTTTTTGGAATAGGCACAAGTGCTTTGATGATGAACTGTGCTTCTCTACAAAAACAGAAACCATTCCAGTAATACTAGAACAAACACTTCATTTCTTCCTTTTTTAGGTTGAAGAGATACTCTTAAGTATTTTGGTACATTAGAGATTATGTATCACTGATTTAAGAGATTAAATTTAGACAAGTTAGGTGGTTTAGCTTGTTTGGACACGATTCGTGTTATGCTGTCTTAACTAGATTGGAAGACACACAGAAACCTGTTCTGTTAGTCAGGCAGCAGGTACTACACTGAAAAGCAGGAACGAGTAAATGGGAAACCCAGGAAACGATCAAGATCTTCTACGTTTGGACTGAAACCCTACTGCAAAGCAAACAGGCATCATACTTTGGTTCTTAGCTTGGTAGTTGTTACAGGTCTCGTCTGGAATCCCGTGGTCATGGGCGTACATCCAAACACCTGTGTGGTCTCCACCCTCACAGGATCCTGCATTAGCACAATCAATCACATTCTGCACGGAGAGATAGGCAGAAGGCCATGCACCTTTCCTCTTTATGTTGATTCGATCTGCAATATAAAAAAATAAAAGTATAGGCAGTAAGTAGTTGTTACTGGAGCGTGTGGGCTGTTAGACACTGCATCCAGTGTTAAAACAGTCTCCTTCATTGAACCTGTAACTACTTGTAAGCAACAGTGTTTGTGGTTGGAAAAGCCTCTATGGCAGCAAGGCTCATAGCACGAGGCAGGCTGAGTAGCTGTGGGTTTTCATTACAAGCCTTTTCCATTAAAAGCTCAGCAAAAAGATGCAGATAATAAGATCTGCTTAAACCCTTGAAGGGCCCTGGAGCTCTTAATTCAAATCAAAATACAAATCATGAAACCAGCATGCTAGTCATAAGCCCATGCAGCCCAGCTGTCTGGCTCCAGGTAACAGCAGTCACCTGCTTAAAGTGCTTAAAGCAGTTAAAAAAACTTTCAGAAGTATATCCGTGCTGCTGTGAAAACATCTCACCATCTGCTCTCAGATGGGTATTGCCATCCTGCTGCCTTATTTTGTCTGAAATAGCCGCTTACCTGGCAGAAGGACTTCCTAATCAATATGTTACAAGGGCTTCTCACAGGGCATTAACAATCTTAACTGACACAACTGTTTTTCTAACCCTATTAGACACGCGATGTTCAGCTACACTTTGACAGAGCTTTGTCTGTATACTGTGGTAGTCAGTTCATTTGAACAACAGGGCCCTTCCCATAAATGGAAACTTTCATTTCCTCATGTCTCAGAGCAGCACAGCAGGGCCCTTTGCTGCCTTAGCAGGGGGTGCAGCAGGCCAAGCTACCAAGGAAGGGATGGGGACACATTGACTGCTTTTGTATCGCTTTCTACCCTCACTGCCCCTCTGAGAAGAATAATAGAACGGGTTGGGATGGAAGGGATTTTAAAGCCCATCCAGTTCCAACCCCTGCCATGGGGAAGCTGCTCCCACCAGATCAGCCTGGCCCTGGGAACCTCCAGGGATGGGGCACCCACAGCTCTGGGCAGCACTGCCACAGCCTCACCGCCCCGAGTGAAAATTCTTCCCCTAACATCTAACCTGAATCTCCCCTCTTCTAGTTTAAAACCATTCCCCTCGTCCTATTGCTATCAGGCCACAGAAAAAAATCAGTCTCCCTCCAGCTTATGAGCTCCCTTCAACAGAAGGCTGAATTCCTGCTCTAGGTAGCAGCCTGTCAGGCACTGCAGATACAATCCTTATGCAAACAGCTTTTTAACCACCCCAGTATTCCCCCCCTCACGTGATCTTTGGCTGCTCTTGTATCAGCTACTTTCTAAGCTTAAACTGAACACCCTTTGCTCAGCACAGAGCTACAGATCACTGAGGGCAAGAGGCTGAACACAGCTCTCAGTACCTGCCAGGGCGCTGGTGCTGCCGTGGGCCCAGCAGGACCCGCAGTACTGAGGGATGTGCTGGTTGCGGGTGGTGCTGGCGTAGTTGACGCCATTGACGTTCCTCCAGTCCCAGCTCTGCGGGAGCTTGGCGACGTCCAGGAGCTCGTGAGGCCGGGGGTAGGTTCTGTACGGAGACAAAAAAAAAAAAAAAAAAAGAGCTCTGGATGCCTGTATCTTCAGGCAAAGTAGGGGAATTTTCATGGAAATTAAAGGAATTTAAAGACAAAAGGAAAAAAAGAAGAAGAAATCACAACACAGGATTTTCCAGCATTTCGTAACGCGCCCGGCCCGGAGCGCGGGTCACGTGACGGCGGAGCGGTGCCGACCTTTCCCCTCAGCCCCGTGACGGCCGCACATCGGGCAGCGGATCCCGGAGCCGCGGGTTCGGGACTGCCCGCAGCCGCTCCCCAGCCGCGCCCGGACGATGCCCGCCTCGCCAAGCTGCCGGGCGTCCCGGCCGCGGCACGACGGCGGCGAGGGGACCGGGGCAGCTCGGACAGCCCGCAGCCGGGTGGCGGCCCGCGAGAGACGGGAGAACTCACCTCAGCCCCGGCGCCCTGCGCGGGGCCGGCTTGTAGCAGTGCTGCCCTTCCCTGACGTACAGACCGGCCCGGCAGGGGCAGAGGCAGCCGCACAGCAGCAGCAGGAGGGCCGCGAGGCGCCGCGCCGGACCGGCCATGCCGAGCACCGCAGCTCCACTCCGCACCGCGCGGCCGCAGCGCCGGCGTTGAAGGGCGGGGCGGAGACCCCAGCCGTGGGGGTGGGACGAGGCGGGGCGGCTCCGCTCGGCGCTGAGGGCGCTCTGTGGCCGTGTGGGGGGTGCGAGGCACGGCGGGCTGTGGGGCTGCTGAGTTGCGCCGGGCCGGGGAGCAGAGCTCCCTCCGGGCTGGTTGGGGAGGTTCCTCCGGATCAGCCGCTCCGCTCTGTAAGCAGGTTTAGCAGCCCGCAGGCAGCTCCTCCTCAGCTCCCAGCGCGCTTTGTAAGAAGCACGAGGCCGGCGCCTTTAATGGTCAGAGAAACGGAGGCGCTGAGGAGGAAGGGAACAAAATCGCACGGCGAGAGCTGAGCACCTGGTCCTGAGCTGACCAGGACAGCCGGGTCCCTGAAAGCCTGGTGTGTGTCAGACTGAGCGGGAACTGCCTGCCCCTCAGCTGTGCAGAGCCAGGGCTGAAAGAGCCCCGGGAAAGAACGGAGTGGCTGGGACAGGGATGAGGTGAGTCACAGCACTGAGGACGTTGTTCGTGGCTCTTCGTTTCACATTTAAAGTATATTCTCTGCTACTGTGGAAAAACTGGTTCCTTTTAAGCTAAAACTACGTTTAAAAAAAAAGAAAAAAGCATCCCAGAATGCCTCCTTGCATGTGTGTGTATTTGTTGCTAATGTGTACTGGAGTGGTGAAAAGTGAAAAAAAATAAGGAAAAAACAAACAAACAAAAAAACAACCAACCAACCCAATAACCGCACATGCAGGTTGCTTGTGGTCCTTCCTTACAGCCATCACCAGGCTTTGGTATCTCAGCCCCACTCTGATGGCAGTGGAAGCAGCAGTCAGGCTGATAACAGGAGCTGTGGGACAGGCTGGTAACAGCTGGGCTCGGTGCCAGGCTGCCCCTAATCTCTGCTGTGCCAAAAGTTGCTCAGAGCCAACCCTTCCACCACGTCCTCCTCTCTCCCTTGTGACACATGCTGCTAATCTGCAGCAGCAAATGGCTGTCCCTGGGAAGTGTACTTGTGTAGCTAACAGGCTTGAGGTTTCTCAGCAGTGAAGCATGACAGACCTGCAAACAAACAGAACCTACAGAAAAATGCTTTTCATACAGGTTTGGAATGAAGGGAGGGCCAGAAAAGAGGCACAAAATCACTTCCACAAAGCACTGGGGTTCCTTGTGTCACGTGCAATAGTAATAAAGACTGCATTAGGAATTGCTTTGGAGGAGGCATATGACTCTCAGGAGCTATTTTTAGCAAGAGACAAAAACAATGTTTCGTGATTGTATATTGCATGTTTCCTTCAGTTCCTTTTTTTTTTTTTTTCCTTCCCTACTTGTGAAATGCCCTCGGTGAGTGCTGCTGAAATTATGTTGCCTAACATTTTGGGCGAAGAATTGGGATCTTTGGCTTCTTCAGAACTTGTGGCTATTGTAAATTAACACATCGGATATGTTAAGTAACATTTATTTGCTGTTAGTTACTGCCTGACACCTTGTGCCCTTGCAGCCTCCAATCAACCCAACAGAAGGGCTGTGGAGGTCAGGCTGCATGTTGGGAAAAGGCTCTGCACCGAAGGGTGGTGGGCACAGCCTTGACCTGCTGGAGTTCTTTACCTCAATTATGGATCTTGCTTTTAATGACAGTTTATAGGTTGGCAGGAGTGACAGAGCATTTCCTAGCTCCTTTCTGTGTTGCTGCTGTGTTGCTAAACTTTGTCTTGGAAGCAGTTATCTGCTCCTGCATTGGCTGGTGGGAAAAGTGGAAGTCATCTGTGGTGGGGAAGTCTGGAATAAGCTGATTTTTCTCTTGTAACAAAATGAAAGCTCATAGATTCCTTATCATTAGTAACCCATAATGTGGTAAAAGTTACATTCAAAAAGCCAACCTTCCAGTGCCATCTTTTCATGCAAAATAACCAAAAGTGCTTTCCTAATTATAGTTCTTCCTCCTATCCTCAGAAATAACACTTGCAAAGCAGTGTCAGTCATCTGACGTAAACAAAGTACTCTGTTCCCAGAAGACAGTCCATCCTGGGCTTCTGTTGCTCAATGATATTGGCCCTGTTTATCAGCAGGCAACCTGTCACGTTTCACTCAGGCTTGCATTATTTCCTTAAGTGCAGTGAAGCATTTCACTCTATGGGCATTATAGCTAATTGCACTGGATTTCACTCTAGCATTTTCCTGGAAAATTCCGATGCTATGCCTCAGATAGAAGAAAATAAGAAAAATAATATAAGAAATTCTGTCTTTTTTAGTGGTGGGAGAGAGAAGTGTGGATAGAGAGGGCAAGTTTAGTCACTGGTTGACCCAGTTCTCAGATTGGCTGAAAATTATGGATTCTTCTTATATGTTTGAGTAGCATGCAGGGAGCTGGGAGTGCACTGTTATGTTCAGGTCTTACAAAGTATTTTTTCTTGCTGGCTGTGTCCCTCTCCTTCCTGCAGTTGTACACTGCAAATGATGCTTAATAATGAACTGCAAGTTTGCCAGGCAGCATGCAAATGTTGTCATTATAGGGAATTAATGCTCAGAAGCTGTTATTGTTTTTATTATGGAGGTTGCAGTGTGTGACTTTCATTATGTGTACAATTTATGTGGTAGAAGCAGAGGTACTTAGTGCTGTTCATTGTTGGCCGTACTCTTTCTACATGAGTATGTGTTTCTACATATGACATACATAAAGTAATTAAGCACAAATACAGTGTGCACAGTCTTGAATCACACTGCTGCACAAAGAACTGGAATGAAGTGTTGTATGTGACAGTTGTCTCTTCCAAACGGTGAGTAGATGCTTCGCCTCCTCGTGAAACATCTGATGAGCCACTTGTGAGGAGTCAGCTACTCCCCTTGCTGGCAGAGTGACAGTCCCAGCAGTATAAAAGGGCCCTGAGGGGCAGACTGTGCTGGGTGTAGCTGATACAGCAGCAGAACGAGGGCTTCTCCTAGGGACTGCAGCTGGAAAAGCTGTGCTAGGTTGTAGCTACCAACACTTGAGCTACACAAAATGCGTGAGATCGTGCACCTTCAGATTGGCCAGTGTGGAAACCAAATTGGAGCTAAGGTATGGTCTTTCAATATTACTTATTAGGAATAAGTGCTGTCATTGCTACGAGTCAAACAATGTTAACAGATGGGGATTTTGAAGGAGGGACAATTATTTTGTTGACTTTGGGATAGGATGAAGAAAATGCTAGCCATGAAGATGAGTATATTGATGAGAACACGATCAGATGAACCTGCTCTGTAATGTAATGTAATGCTAGACACAGTTTAAGTGTCCAGCCATTCTGAACGTTGAAAGGTTAATCATTTTTCTATTGTATTTGCACTGGGAACCACTTAAGTCTAACAAGACCTATATAAAAGCACACATACATAAACATACCATGCACATGTTGGCAGTGTTGTGTTTGTACAGTTTAAATGAGACTGGATGTTAAACCAAAAGACCTTTAAAGTTAGAATAGCTGGGTCATCACAGTAGCTGGGTGGGTCTACATTGCCACTATGGCAGCTCCAAGATAAGAGCCCCAGCACAGGACAGCCATATGAATGTCAAGATAAAACGTACTTAGCTGAGACAGCTTTGCCATGCCTCAGCCCCACTTGTCCATGACAGACACCCCTCCCTGCCCCAACACTGGCTTTCTGTTACATTCATACCAAATACTGGTGTTATTTAAACTAATTCTGTGTTGCTTAAACTTACAATAGTTCATTGCGAAGGTAACTGAGGCCTCCATCCTAAAAGTGCCTGGGCAATAATCCAACCAGCATAAATGGGCTACTAAGCATTTCTCATGAACTTATAAGGTGCAGGGGGATGATGAGGATCCCTGCTGTGATGGGTACTATTGCATTTCATTCATTTTTTGTACTCAGATTGTTCTTCCACCCTCTACAGCCTAATTAACAAATGGCAAAGCCTTCCTTGCTTCAGGCACAGTTCCCTCCTTGTGTGTAGCCACCATAACAAGAGCAGCAGAGCTCATGCTGTACACATTGCACTGAAAAAATAAATTAATTATGACTTTGAACCTCTTTCTTTTTTCAGTTCTGGGAAGTGATAAGTGATGAACATGGAATTGATATTGCTGGAAACTACCATGGGAATGCATCGCTGCAGCTTGAGCGCATTAACGTGTACTTCAACGAGGCTTATTGTAAGTGCACAGCATGCAGGGCATCATGCAAGGCTGACAGGAAGGTTAAGAGAATTGATAGAATTAAAGAAATCCCCTCCCCAAAATCTGTAGGGGGGTTGGATTTTTTTGAATAGATTATAAGCCTGTCTCTTCTTTCTAACAGTAGTCGTTCATTTTCTTTTGTTCTAGCCCATAAATATGTGCCCCGTTCTATCTTGGTGGACCTGGAGCCTGGTACAATGGACAGTGTACGATCTAGCAAAATTGGCCCACTATTTCGACCTGACAATTTTATTCATGGTATGTACAGCATGCTGTTAGCAAACCAGCCAAAGTTAACAGTCCAAACTTGCCTTTCCCTCTCTTCAAAAAACCCCACTCTTGTTAACGCGGTTGTTCTTTCTGTAATTCCGCTTACAGGTAATTCAGGTGCTGGAAACAACTGGGCTAAGGGCCATTACACAGAAGGAGCTGAACTGATTGAAAATGTTATGGATGTGGTCAGGAACGAGTGTGAGAGCTGTGACTGCCTGCAGGGATTCCAGCTCATCCATTCTCTTGGTGGTGGTACAGGCTCAGGTATGGGCACGCTCCTCATCAACAAAATCAGAGAAGAATATCCCGACAGAATTATGAACACTTTCAGTGTTGTTCCTTCACCCAAAGTATCTGACACAGTTGTAGAGCCCTATAATGCCATCCTCTCCATCCATCAACTAATAGAGAATACAGATGAAACCTTCTGCATTGACAATGAAGCACTATATGATATATGTTTTAGAACTTTAAAGCTCACCAATCCCACCTATGGTGACCTCAATCACTTAGTGTCCCTAACAATGAGTGGTGTTACAACCTCACTCCGTTTTCCTGGTCAGCTGAATGCAGATCTGAGGAAGCTGGCTGTTAACATGGTGCCCTTCCCTCGCCTGCATTTCTTTATGCCAGGCTTTGCTCCTCTAACAGCACGAGGTAGCCAGCAGTACAGAGCCCTCTCAGTGCCAGAGCTTACTCAACAGATGTTTGATGCACGCAACATGATGGCAGCCTGCGACCCCCGTCGGGGGCGTTATTTGACTGTGGCATGCATCTTCAGAGGCCGAATGTCTACCAGAGAAGTGGATGAACAGTTACTGTCTGTCCAGACCAAGAACAGCTCCTACTTTGTGGAGTGGATCCCTAATAATGTCAAAGTGGCTGTGTGTGACATACCACCGCGAGGACTGAAGATGGCAGCTACCTTTATTGGCAATAACACGGCCATTCAGGAGCTCTTCATCAGGGTTTCTGAACAGTTTTCAGCTATGTTCAGAAGAAAAGCGTTTCTCCATTGGTACACTGGTGAAGGCATGGATGAGATGGAGTTTTCTGAAGCAGAGGGAAACACCAATGACCTTGTTTCTGAGTACCAGCAGTACCAAGATGCCACTGCAGATGTTGAGGAATACGAAGAAGTGGAAGCTAGCCCAGAAAAGGAAACATAAAAACAATGGCAGTATAAAACATTCTCCAAGTAAGCCTGTTGTCATTCACTAAAGGAAAAGCATTAGCCACAAGCCGCATACCAAAAATAACATCTTTAAGATTATTTTCCTCTCCAAAATTACAGTACAACACTTTTGAAATTAACAGCAGGTATGCTCTACTTTCCTGTCTACACTAAATCACTCCCAGAAAAGATCCACTATGAAGACAGGTTCCCTCATAACAGTCTTGTAAATGTATTCCCTTCTGGAATTTTGTTGCTACATATACAATATACAGCCCGTGTGTGTGCATTAGGATCACAAGCATTTGCAAAAGATGTTATAAACTTATCAAATTTACTTATTTTCAGGTAACCACAGTCCATATTTTGCTTGTGAACTTGCTACTGTGTTGGGAACACGCACTTGTAGGGCCTATAAAGGCAGTATGTCATCATGCACTCTAGAGATGGATCCTGCTGACCTGCTGACAATTTCAGTTCCTTTAGCAGCAGAATGAAGGGGAAAAACAAGACTACATATTCACTTTTTTTTTTTTTTTTGTTAAGAGGATATATTTTAATAGTCCTGTCACATTGCTGGTTTGTATTATTGCAGAGCTTGTACTCATTTTGTGGTTTATTTCAGTTTCAAACTATAGCTTCAGTTATACTAGCATACCAAATTGTAAACAGTTTAACAGTTTTGGCGTGGTGTTTTGGTTTTTGTTTCCCTCCTTCTATGTAGTAACTATTGTAATTTTTCTTCCCATCACTCAGCACAGCAACAGATGGAATGGTTTGCAGTTAAATAAGAGATGTAAGTTCAATGGCAATCACTAAATAAGAAAAATATCTTGAGGAAGAAAAATGTGCCTTTCACAGCCATCTATTTAACACTGCATTTATAATATTAGTTGAAATAAAAATATACAGCATTCTGTAAAATACTTCAACGCTTGAAAAATTTAGTAGGCAAAAACCATAGTTTATAATGACCAACATGCACTTAAAAATTCTTCCTTGAAAAAAAAAAAAAAAAAAGCTTGTTTTACTGTTCTCTCAGAAGATATTGTTTTGTATTCTGAAGAAAGCCATGCCTCATGTTTCAGTCTTTTGTATTACAGTCAGCAGTAGAAGCATCGTACATTATATTCCTTCCTATGCACAGGGACAATATTATACTTGCTGTTGAGATACACAGCAGCTGAAACATACTCCATCATCTTCACTTGGTTAGGGGAAATGACTGCGTCCCCCTCCATTCCTACTGCTTCCTAGTGAATCCATGCCTGCTCCCTCACAGGGAAAGTGATCAAGTGCTAATAGGAACAGTAATACAGTCCAGAGCACAGTCCTGAGCCTTCTGCACTTCCCACCCCATACAGGGAGCCACCTCCAACTCCTGATTCACTGATTGTGGTTCAGATAGTCTTGGAGATGGATCACATGCAGCATCTCCATGGAGAAGTATTCTACTTTGTTTTGCCTTAAATCCAAGTGGCATCAAAATGACTTTGGCTGAGAAAGTTTATTCTGAGCACAAAAGTTCATTCATTCATTATGGAAATGAAGCAGGCAAAAAAATTTAAACAGCAGTTACATCTCTCTCTTATTAATAATAGTTATTAATAGACTCTCTTATTAATATCAGCATGAAAGCCACGAAGAGATCTGCCTTGACAATAAACATCTGTTGCCAACAAATGGTAGAGTGTGATAAAAAGTCATCCATTCTAACACATATGAAAGGTCTCTCTGCAAAAGGGAGTACTTTGTTTCCAAAGAACAATAGTTGCCACACATTCATTTGTTTATTCAGCAATTAAATTTATTAGCTGATTTATGTACATGGGCAAATTTTACAGTTAACGTGTTGATGTTATACTGCAGTCTTGAATTTGCCTACAGCTTGCAGTTTGCTGTTCAGCATTCACAGGGCAGTTCCTACGAGAGATTTAAAATACAAATTACTCAATTCAAGAGAACACACGCAGGTAGACTTCAAGCAGTGCAGTGCTTATTCTCAGATCAAGAATAGATCTGTCCAACATTTATGTTATCACCACTAATTTTTTTCTGGATGTGTAACACAGTCAATCACTCCTGATCATACTTACAACAACTTTTACAAAACCAAGCGTGGCTCCTGCCAGCCTTGTGAGCTGCAGGCCTTGATACAGAGATGTATTTTATGGACAGTCTTATCAGTTACAAGCATCTTACAGAAAGACATTTCAGCAACAATACTCTCTGCTAGCACAACTACAGTAACGTTAAGGTACGCACACTGACTTTATGGGGACAGAGAGAGTGGTGATGTACTGGAACAGGCTGCCCAGAGAGGTTGTGGATGCCCCATCCCTGGAGGTGTTCAAGGCTAGATTGGATGGGGCCTGGTCTAGCATTAGGTGGGATGGTTGGTGGCCCTGTATGTGGCAGGGGGGTTGGAGATTCATGATCCTTGAGGTCCCTTCCAACCCTGGCAATTCTGTGATCCTGTGGGACAGGCTGTTGTCCCATCAGTGTAACAGTCCTAGTCACAAAACTGCCCTTGCTAATTACATGTTATGTAGTGCTTCAGGCACAGCCCAGAAGAGACCTGAACTGCTGGCTGCACGTGCAGTGTCACACACAGAGATACAAGCAGCGTGTCTCTTCCAGAGCCATCAAACAGCCTTTGCACAGATAAGACAACTCCGAACAAAACCCAAACCTTTCAACGCAGAGCCTGAAGGGGCGCACAGCCCCGCCGTCAGAGCGCAGCGATCCCCGCAATGCCCGCAGCTCAGCCCAACAGTGCAGCCCCCGGCCCCGCCCCGCTCCTCCACACGCACACGACACGCCGTGCTTACACCTATTAGCCCCGCTATTCCTTCTTGGCCTTCACAGTCTTCACGGTCGCCGTCGCCGCCCTCTCCGCCTCAGCTTTGTACTGAGGCTTCATCGCCGCTCTGACAACCTGAGCGCAGATCTGGGAGTACCGGATGTAGCTGAAGACAGAAGGAGAAAGGGAAGGAAAATAAAGCTGGGAATCTAACGGCACCGACCCGCCCTCAGACACCGCTGGCGTCACCTGAGCCCAGCCTGCCGCCAGTACGCCACCATGGCTGCGGATGAACGGACGCTCCGCTGCCGACAAGGTCAGCGCCCACCGGAAGGGGAAGGACCGCCCCGCTGCTTTCTAGCCAATCAGCAACCAAGACTGATCTTTCTTCCAATCAGAATTCGAGTTACCTTAGGGGAGCTGACCAATGGTAACCAGTCGGTTACACTAGTCCCAGTTACCGCTCTCTGGTAGCGTCCAATCAGCAGGTTGAACGGGGCGCGCGACTCTCGCCATTTCTTCTCGAGGAATATCGCGAGAGGGAACCGCCTCACCGCGGCGGTTGCGCTGGGCTCTCAGCGTGGCTCCGCCCCAGCGGTTCGCTGCGTTTTACCCGGGGCGGGGCGTGGAGCGGCGCGGCCTCGGCTCCAGCTCCAGACTCGGCCGGTTTGGCCCTGCTTCATGGATCCAGAAAAGGGTCTGTGCGTGGCCTGCAGTGGTTCAGAGCCGGTAACGTGCCAGGAACGCATTACACGTGGCCATAAAGTACGTATGTTGGTTACGAGTTAACTGTTCGCTAAGAAGCTCTCGTGTAATCTAAAATTCAGGCAAGGGTTAAAGGCGTTTTGGGTTTTCCTTTTCCCCCAAGCTCTGTCAGTTGTCTTTCCCTCTCCTTTTTGCTATCACTTCCCAGCATTTTCAGTTTAAGAGTGTGAGGATGAAAACGACCTGTAAACCTGTGCAGCCACTGACTGCTGCAGTGCAGGCTGCCTTTGTTTGGAGCTTAAGCTGTGCCTGTCCTGATCCGCGCCCTCAGTGTGGGATTCCTTTGGCTGTAAGGTGCGTTTGCTGCACGTGCCTGAAGTGCTATGAAACACTTTATCCAAACAGATTAACAACAGAAAATACAGCCAACTCGAGGCTGTGATCCATTTATCAGTAAATGATGGGACAACAGATAATTTCCCATATGTAGTATGCAAGTGTTGAAGTAATTAGGGCTAAGGAGATCTTGGATTGTTTATTTTATTAAATCCTTGCATTTAAGTATTCATACTTCTTCCTTGTGTCTTCTTTCCGAAACCAAACCGCCTCGCACAGCCTGTGGGACGCCCTGAGGAGCCATGCAGGTCCTGGGCTGACTTTGGTTCTCTTTGCTCACCTCTTTGGGACCATGGAGTGCTGTCATGTCACTGTGCAGTGATGATTTAACTGATGATAGCAAAGTTTTAAAGCACAGAATAACGTTCTTTATTATAGATGTCAGCCCAGAGCCACTGCAATTAACAATCTGTACAGTAATGATGACAGGATAGATTTACAGGAAGAAAACCCAAAACAGTTTTCCACCAGGTACATTGTCATCTGTCTCCAGGATATCATAAGCCAGTACGAGAAGATGATTACTTTATTAGTGTAATTAATAGGAACAGCAACCAGGAAGGGAGAGTGGGAAGGCAGAATTTCCTGTCTTTATTTGCCAACTGATGTCTCTGCTGAGATCACACTGCAGTTGTGCTGACGTTCTGAAAGCAGGGTTTCCTACAGTAGTTCCTTCTGTCTGGACCAACAGTGTAAGCCTTGTGAGCTGCCCAGGCCATAAACATGGCTCAGCAGAACAAAAGTTCTTGTAGCTGAAATGGACACCTTAGTTCCTGCTGTGTGTCCCTCTGTTCCCTCTCCCCACCTGGCTGTCTCTCACCTGTTCCTCTTTTTAATCAGCTGTTTTTTCCCCCCATCACATCTGCTCTCTCTGTATCTCCATGTGAAATGCCTCTGCAGTTCTGTGCAGTGCATTCAGATTTCAGTCTGTTTTGGAGATGCATGATGTGGGTGCAATTATTTGCACATTTAGCTCTATTTACTATTTGTAGGTTTTGAAAGACAAATTGTCTGAATGAATTAGAAGTTAAATCTTTGGGAGAGGTACCATGCTGAGACAGAATGGAAATTACACTAATGACTGAAATTGAGCTCTACAAAAATTGCAGAGTATATATTGATATTTATAAAGCTGTCAACAAGGCACCATTATAGAGTTGTACAAACTGTTTTCAAGCCCTGTTCAAGTTGTTTAAATGCTAGAATGTATTTGTAAAGCCTGAATCTCCCTTCAGATAAAATCTTTTAGAGGCGTAGGAAACATAACTTAAAAAGGAGCACATGAAGGAGGGAGGCTTAGAAAGGTACAGTGAGTTGGCAGAAAGAAGAAAGGATATATTAGAAGAGTTAAATACAGAGATCAAGAGAAGCTGAAGAGGTGCAATTAGCAACATCTAGAAATGTGAGAGTGGATACATCAGTGGGAACTAAAGTTGTGAGGTTAGAAATGTCTGAAGGATTTGAGGAAGTGAGGGAAGAAGAATCCTGAAAGGAAATGCTGGAGACATCTGTGAAGGGTGCAGAGATGAGGTTAGAAACATCCTCAGCAGTCGATGAGGGAAACTCAGAGGAGCCCTGAAACATGAAGTAGTTAAAATCAGTGAGATCCAGTGATTCTGAAGAGGTTGAGGTTTGCTCTGAGATGTATGTTGGGGTCGGAGGGATTTCGCAGGAATCATCTAAGGAAGCTGAAGAGGTGTGACTGGAGGCATCTAGGGAGGGTGAAGAAGTGAGACTGGAGAGGTCTAAAGAGGATGAAGAAGTTGGACTGGAGAAGTCTGGAGAAGGTATCGAGGTGAGACTTGAGAGATCTAAGGAGATTGAGGAACTGTTGCCGGAGAGATTCAGGGAGCCTGAGGAGGTGAGACTTGATAAGTCCAGTGAAATGGATGAGGTGAAACTGGAGTGTTCCCAGGAATCTGAAGAGGTGATACTGGAGAGCTCTAAGGAGACTGAAGAGGATGTACTGGAGAAGTCTGAAGAGGTTGAAGATGTGAGACTGGAAAGGTCCAGAGAAGATGAAGAAGTGAGACTGGAAAATTCCACAGAGGCTGAAGAGCTCAGGCTGGAGAGATCCAAAGAATCTGAAAAGGGGATTTTTTTTAAGAGTTCCAAGGAAGCTGAAGTCTTTACACTGGAGGGGTCCAGGGAGGCCGAAAAGTGAGACCAGGAAGGTCCAGGTGAGAGACGAAACTGAAAAGCCAAGTAAATTCATAACGTGACTGATTTTAAATCAGAAGTATTTTTAACTGAAGATCTCTAATAACATCAGAACAACTTTAAAAGATATAATGAAACTCAAAAAGTATCAGTTTTGAAAATAACTAGACATACAATTCTAGTCATTACCTCTCTTGATGTTGCTGAGTTTGTGCAGGAAAGTTGAGTAGTAAGAGCTCTCAGAATTATGTAGAATATTGCTCCTTCACAGGGGAGCAGTACAGAAGTCCACATCCGGAAGAGTATCTACAGTAGAAGCCATTTCTGTGTCTTGGCATGGCTCTCCCTGTTCAGTGAGATTTTAACATCTATGACAGCCTGACAAAGAGTACCCTCTGAAGGTCTGAAATAAAACAGTGGCAATGCAATGTAATGGAAATGAAAATGTTTTTGTTTCTCTTTTTTCAGATACCAGAGGATATTCAGACACCGGGCTTATGTACAGAGATGAAAATAAAAAGTGCACAGATGAACATGGCAGCTTCGAGTCAAACCCAGCCTCTCACTGTAAAGGTGTGACTGATTCCTTCCTTCTGATTTGTAATGTCTGACTCAAAACTGCGGATCTTCCTGATGATGCTAACAAAATAGCAAAGAAATAACTAATTTTTCTCCACAGCAAGTACAGGATTTATTTTTGAAAGCCAGCAGTATGCTAAACTGATGGTGGGGTAAAGAAATATGCAGTGATATCAGCTCTGCTTGGTTTTAGGTAGTGTGAGGTCTTATTTTAATATTTTCATTTTGTACCTCTGGGCATAAAACTTGAACTGTAACAACAGTAATTTTTAGGTTGTGGTAAGCTTGAATTGACAAATAACACTACAGAGATAGAATGGAGGCATTAATTAAAAAGGAAATGGAACTGCTTATATTTTAGTTCAAAAAGGTGCACCTAATTATAGTACGAGTGGATCAAGAGGCTGATCTGCAGCTGCTGCCTTTTCATCTCAAGACTGTGTTGTAAAACAGCAGTTGAATCCTGTTTTTCCAGTCATAGGCAGAAGATGGCACAGAGTTCTTCAGAAATATTTTATGGAGCAAGGAAGTTGGATATACCAACAGGAGACTGCCTTTTCTCAGGTGAATACATCCAGGCTTTGCTGTGATTACACAGCTGATGCATGTATAATGGATTTAGCATAATCACCAGGCATAGCTCTCCCACTGAGGTCACCTTTTAACAGCAGGTGTCTGCTGAACACAGACTGAAGGTGACAGGAATAATGTTTTACTGTGTAAATATTAAAAGTGGAGATTTAACACAAGACAAAAATTAACGGAGTTAAAAAAAAAAAAAAAAGAGCTGGTATGTGCCAATGATGAGATCTGAAATAGTTCATGAATGCACCTGAATATTCATAATGTATCTTTAGAGCTCATGCAGCATGGTTGTAACTTTGTCAAAAGTTCACTATTTGTAGATGAGAAGGCAGAGCAGACAAATCTTTCTTGATGCATCTTTATGATGCTGTCCTCTACTCACAGCAAGAAAATAAAACTAAGTAATTCCTTTAAAAAAAAGCCCTTGTTATTTAACAACTGCATCACTTTGTGACTGATTTTTATCTCTAATCTTACAAAGTTTCTCAAGTACATTGCACAGGAAAGAAAAAATAATTGCACAGAAGGAAAATTACAGTAGAAAGAAAAGTCAGTATCAACGTGATTTCCAACAGATTATGAGAGCCATTACCCCTTCACTGCATTCTTTATGCCTTAACTCCATAACGTTATTGCCTATTTTCCTATGAAATAACAATGTCAAGAAACATGGAATTATGGTTACTATTGTATAAAATATACAGATCAGTAGTCATACTTCCTACCTTTGATAGCTGTGGATTTATCTCCTTTCTCTGCTTGTGTAAGCCGTATTGGGCTATGCTGCTAATGCTCTGCTGTTCTCTCTGCTGATGACCCTAATCTGCTCCACAGCTACTGGAAATCATGGCATGCTGATGACAATAAAGGTCATCATCTCCTATTAAATCTCCTCTTTGTCTAAGCACAGTGCTAAGCAGAGAGCACCAGCAGAAAACATGCTCCAAAATTAGCTCTAATTTTAAAATAAAGTTGCACTTCTGTGTTGTTTTCTATTACGTTTTGAAGGTTATTTAATGAAGCAGATGAGGAAACTTATTTTTAACTTTTGGACACCTGGATTCAAGTAGAAAATATTTTGCAGGGTCTGCCAAGTCTTAGCTGCCCATCTGCAAGTAAATAGTCTCTGGAGGAGCCCAGGATCTGCAGAGAAGAATTCAGGTACATTCAAGGTCTAAGAATGTTGTGCATGATTTTGGACATGTTTTGATGTGTTTAATAGCTTTTTCTTAAATGATAAAATAGCATGATAACCTAAATCTTTCTGTCCACAGTCTGTTATAATGTTGAACAAAACTTTTAAAAGCATCGAGGTGGCAGCAAGGGCTGGGGCACTTTTTCAGAAGTTTTAAGTCTTACAGGTGCTTGTGTTTATTTGAAAGATAAGGTTGACTTAGGATCCTGCTATAAGGGACCTGGACTCTATGATCTCTGGTGGTTCCTTTCAGCCCCTATGATTTTGTGATCCTAGTTAAATAAACACTATTATTGCACTTCACTTTACAGACTAGGAAATAACATCATCTGTGCAATACCACCCAACTCCTTTCCCCTCCCCCCACCCAGAAGAAATAAGGGGAAGTCATGTAGCTTGCTGAATGTCTCTCAAAACTGAGGATTAAAAAGAGAGAAAATAAAACTGGATGGAATATCAGGCTAAGAAAGTTAAATGCTTTTACTACTTCAGCTAGATAATTCAGAATAGAAGGTGACTATACGATATGACTAAGTCCCAAGTACAGGTTCTGGCACACAGTTTCTATAGAGAAATGCTCAGTCAGGGCTTGAAGCAGTGATGGAGCACTGGTGGGAAGGTGGGGCCAACCCAGGGGAGCACAGGTGTAAGCAATGCAACTGAATGATGGAAGGGCTGGAGCCAGGATCCACCCCTTCCTGCCCTCACGTAAGGGCTGGCAGTGGAAGTGAGGGGATCTTGCTGGAGATACTTGTATATCCAAGGCCTTGTAAAAGTAAGCAAATTTTCTTCCTTTGTTCACGCGTCCATAGTTGTTGCATTTGGGCTTGTTCTCATTTGCTGCAGCTACAGACTTTGCTGCCCTGCTATTATTGCTATATTTTCCATCATATTATAGCACTACAGTTTCCTTTCTCTTAGTTTCACAACATATCTACTAGATTTTGCTACAAGTCCTGCACAAGTGCAAGAACAAACTTCACACCCTGAAGAACATGGGCGTTCTAAAATGACTCAGAGCTTTCAGACAAACTTGCATTGTCAGCATTCTTTGGTTCATCTGTTCACTTTTGAAACTCAACAGGATGCTGATTTTTTCCTTTGAACCAATGCAAAGGGTGTGCAGACAGTGGGTGTTTAGCTTTACCTTACTGGAAAGAAACTCAGCTATGTGCTCTAACAGACCACAACAGACAAAACAGCAATGTTGTAGGCAGTTGTGGTTAATTCTGCACTCCCTCCCCCAATAAGCTGTAAATCAGTTGCTAACTGTGATGTGAACAAACAGGTGCTGTCACCCATTGTTAGCAAGAAGAAATATTGTTGGATAAACAAAGCCTTTTGTTTTCTTAGACTTCAGTCATTAACAGAAAAGCCTATTACATTTAGTGTACGCACAGACACAAGTCATTGCAGTAAATATAGGAATTTTCCCACTTCTGTGGCACCAGTTTGTTATTCCAGATAGCGAATAGTGGCACCTTTCAGAACACTGAAATGTTAGGCTGTCAGCAAGATTGACAGAGCACAAACACAAGTCTTCAACAAAATCTTACAGTGCAGATGGAGTGCATGGAAGCTGGACAGCTGCACAGCACTGAGAAGTTACAAACCTGACAGATCTTCTTAAAACACCTTGCAAGTAACATGAAACAAGTTGCAACTTTAGCCATCCCCAGCATGTGTGAATCAAGAAGTGAACAATTCAGGTGTAATTTACACTAACAAATCCTTAGGACCAGAAAAGTGCAATTCCCACTACTAAGTTACACCAAAATTCCACTACCAGTATCACCAATTCTCATATCATATGCGAGCAAAAATCTTTTACACATTATTTTTTCAAAACATTTAAAACAATGAATAGCAACAATAGCTAATGGTTTCTGAGTTAAAAATTCAAGTGAACAGTGTAATAAGTCATCATCTTCTCCAGGCCATGAGCTTTGGATTAAAGCTTACTCACTTCTGTTTCTTAGAAAAGTTATTCAGTTAGCTTGAAGCTTGTCCAGTTTAACAGCCTACATCTGCAGGTGAGGTGAAGAATGAATCCACATAGGTAAGCTGAAAGAAGTAAGGATCCACCAAACATCACTGCTGATTTGTTCACATCATATTCCTCTATCCCTCCCCCCACCCCCTTTCTAGTCCTTAAGTTTTGTTCCTCCAATTGTAATTCCATTTTCTTTCCCACCTGCCTCATTAGTTCTGACCAGCAGAATGCACAGCTGCTCTGCACAAGCTTACATCACATTCACTGCAGCATCAAAGCATTCAGCCATAGCACCCTGCATTCACCCAAGCATTGCCAGCCATGACACAGCTACACAGGCAGCTAGCAAAGAAACCATCTGAGCATGCATGCATACAGATAGCAGTACAGACACTTCCTTCTCTGATGGAACACACAGTTTGTAGTTGCTGCACAGCCCACCACACCAAATCAAACAAAGCTTCTTTAAGTGAAGTTTTCTCTTATGACCACTGTGGGTAAACAACCAAACTGTTTGTGACTGTACAGACTCAAACAGAACCCTTCTGCTCTTAACAACAGTGAGTATTAGGTTCCATGCAGGGGGACATACTCCTTGACAGTTAAAGTGTAGTATACGGATTTCAGTCTAAGTAGAGCAAAAAAAGAGATCTAGCAAACTGAAGTCTGGTCACATTTGTGGAAAAAAGTGGTTAGTTACAAAAGAGCAAGAAAAACCACAGCAGCTGCAAATAGGTTTGATTTATTGTCACTTACAAATGTACACTGTAAGATAGACATCTGAATAAAATAAGCTATTAACTCTGGACTATTCCTTCAGCTCCAAGCCCCACCCAGATTCCTACCCTAGCAATTAAAAGAAATGACTAGAACAGAGGTTGAGGAACTAGGCAGAACGCAGGTAACGTTTTATTTAAAACAAAAAACCAAGCACATGCAGAAAGCAATATCCCTTGGAATAAAGAGTACAGGCATATAAATAAAATAGAACAAAGATAATCACTATCTTCCAAGAAGTTGTTGAATGCTTGCAAAAATTAAACAGCCTGAACTTTCAGTGCAAGGACAACCTGAATTCGTACTGTGTAGGCCCTTAGTGCACAAGAACTAGGAAAAGATAAAACTGACTTCAAAATGGCAAGTGATGCTGAAGGCTGAACAAATATTTGGAGTCACTTTCAAGCACTGCATTTTTTAATCCGGTTACAGTACATTTTTGCAGAAGTTTCAAATACTTAAGCTGAAATGCTGTTTCAGCTGCAATAGCTGTAAAAGCACAACAAACCACAATTATTTCAGTTTATAAAGGTATTTTCAAATCATTTATTTTAGAAAAATATTTAGAATAGTTAAACTTTTAAAAGGTGTACACATACATACCTCTTTTTTTTCCCCCAAACTCATTGTTTTCCCCCTCTAAATTTCCCACTTAAAATAAGCTGTTTACATAGCAGATACTATTCAATGGGCAGTTCCATATAACAGAAATGGCATGCAACATAAAATATGCTGGAACAGGTGACACTACAGTTCTTAAAGGCTAAGAGAGTCTTGAGATTACTTGTAAGCTTAGAATCAAAATTGCAGGAAGTATCTCTGGCACCAGAATGAAACACCAGCTGACTTGGGGCTGTATTTTCCCATTTCTTCACATTGAAGGAGTTAGATGGGACAGGCAGCCTATACTGAAGCCAGTAGGACTACCAGCAAACTGGTGTATTATTTAAGTACAAATGTCAGGGTCTGAGCTTGAAGTTCCCACAGCTAATCACTGAGGTCAGTACCGAGAATCTGTAGTAAGTACCAGGAAAGAAAAGTGTAGAAAACTCGAGGTTTTCACTTGAAGAGCCTTATTTTGTGAGCGAATAAGCCTAAAATGTAAAGGACCTTCTGGAACTCAGAACACTGTTTAAAGGACAACAAATCAAACTTAAAGAACAAGTTACTTCCAGAGCATGATCAAGTTAATGAATATATTGTTAGTGTTCTTAATATTACTTCCTTTTATGCTCAGGTATCTCTATCCAGCTTCAACAACACTGTTTAGTCCTTTACATGATACTTTGAAATTCTGGAGTGAACAGCTACTATTCTCAGAAGTGCCATCAGCTTATGAAATTTTTAAGGCTATGTGCATATTGTACCCCTTTATTTTATGGGCTCTTAGAAATGGAGTTATTCCATAAGTTTAAGATAAAGTTTTATCTCAGATTTCTGTGTGTCAAACTTAGGAACAAGAATTTAGGTGTTAGCAGATAAGAGACACTTCTGAATGTTTTACCTATACTGACTGAAAAATAATAGAGTACCAGGTTAGCTCAACTAGTCAAACTAGTTAAAAACCATATAAAAAATATTTTCTATATTCTTTTGTTTTTCAAGCTTCAAGTAATAAACTTTCTGTTAAACCGAGTTGCATCATACAACTGTCAATGCTTAACAAATAGGACAATGCTGGAACAAAGCTTCTGCTTAATTTTGGGCTTGGTCCCAAGAGGTAGTCCATAAGTCACACAAAAACAAAAGTTCCACAGAAGTCAACCAAACATGCCAGTCTCCTCCAACATATACAGCCTTACCTCTAAACGAGGCCATTTCATGTCTGAAGTATTATAAGTTAGTGTTCATGTAAATACAGGAACTACACTTGAAAGTTATTTCTTCATCTGCAACTGAAGTTCGGTCCAGCTGAACCAGTATATTAATTAAGCTTTGCCAATCAGCCTCATTAGTAAGAACTTAGCTTCTCTCCAAATTAAACTAGAAACATACCTAATACATAGGTATGCCCTTAAATAATAAAGAATATATATATTTATGTTTGGAGAGAAGCTTTGGATTGCTAAACCTTGTTATGAACACAAATACATTTACTATCATTTCTCTACAAATGCTGCTGCTGCCATTGAATTCCTCATTGTTCCTCTTGCTGAAGCTGTGAACTCCTCAATTTCAGCATTGAGTCTATTTATTACCCATTCCAGTGCTTCGCGACCCTACAGGTTAGAAAAAATACGTTTTAATGTATGAATCCTAGCAATGATCCAGGCAAAGGTACAGAAATAGACAGCTTTGTGACATTCTTTACTTCAGAAACCTGATTAACACAGAAAGATGTGCGGGCTCACAGACCAAGAAGATTCCTTCTGTCAGCAGTGCTGTGTTACGAAGCACGAAGTGGCTTTTTTTTCAGTTTGTGTTTCATCATTCTTGAGGCTGAACTTAAAGGGGAAACTCTCAAAAGACTGACAAAGAACAATCCTTCAAACACCACTTCATTACTCCAAATCACTGCTTCAGATGAGTTTTGATGTCTACCTTGTCAATAGCAAACCTAACGGGTGGCATCAAGAGGGCAGCCAAGGAGTGACAGACTTAAGTGAATGGAAATGCTTTTCCAATGAAGATTCAGAGATTCAATAGGATTTATTACCCACATTTCCAAAGGGAAAAAAAAGAGCGAGTTCAAAAAGCTAAGCATTCAGAAACCTACAGTACAGACAGTAGAACTACTTGTATCCTAAGACTGCTGACAAAGCCAAAAAGTAATACAGAGATTTGTACTGCCATTTAGCCAGTAGTCATGTTACACAGAGATCATACTTACTTTATTAGCATTGGAGGAAATCGTGTTTGCCATTAATCCCTCTAGGTAACTACTGAGACTGACACCTTTCACAGATATTATTGCTTCTTGTGTCAAAACGGTTCTGAAATAGAACAGAAAGTAAATGGTGCAGAGTAGTTTAAAACAGTGCATTGCTAAAGGCTTCCTGCACCCCAACAAGGACATTGTCATTGCCTTTGCTGGTAACACAACAACCCACTGTCTCAGTTGCTTAACTGCACACTTCTACTTCTATGAAACAAAAGCCAAGAGTCCCCATTAAGTCCAGGTGACCCTTTGTGGCACTCAGCTATTGCCAACATCAGCAGCCTGCAGTTAGAGCACACAGAGCAAATGGGAAGATATACTGGAAAAACAGTACTAACACATCTCCTATAACAGTGGGTTTTAGCCTTTCCCATGGCCATAGGCAAAAAATCTTCACTGGTTCCAGGAGTACAGATTCAGCACTGTTTGAAGTTGCCTTAAATAAATAAATAATGTTCTCCAAAATGATAAAATAGAGGCAGATAAATGTGCAGCGTGCAGTTTTGTGCTTGAGCTGATAAAGGGATCAAAACTTAGATCAAAACTGAAGACATACAGATATGTTCAGCTACATGCAGGACACAGCAGAACTCCCTGAAAAACTGATCTGAACTGGGCTGCACTGTGCCATGACATTCACATTCCCAGTAGTGCTCTGGGGAAGCAATGTAGCTACAGTGACAGTATATTATCTCTTTTCAGCCAAGACAGCACAACAGAAGTCACACAAACCCCACTGCATCGTCCTCTATAAGGAAGACCAGGGCAATTTACAGAGCCAAAGTCTGCTCTCCCTCAGGCAGTCTCAGAAGGAAGAGGTACTCACTTGTCTGGTTCATGAGGGTGTGGTTTATAGACAAGCCTCTCATCTACTGACACGAGGTTTGTAAATGAAATCTGCAGAATAAAAGACAAGATTACCTCTCAGTAAAAGTATTACAGAAATACTATGTAAAATTGCAGATAGAAAACTAACATAGATCTGATTTAAACAAGGTTTTTCTTGCAAGTATTAGCATTAAGGTTGTAGAACTTGATAAATAAATCTCCAAATTCAGCACTTGCTGATCTCACTGTCTTTTCATGGATTGTTTGGATTATTTACCATGCACAAATGCCACGTTCATATCATGGAATCAGAAAGGTGTGGCAGCACATAAAGCAGATGTTAAACCATCAGGAAATGGGGACACTGTGCACCAAAGGGCTTGGAAAAAAAACATTCCAGAAGAGCAAACAAAACCAAGAAGTGGAAATCTGTTCATCATTGCATTCTGTATGCCTTGTGGTTGGACTTGATGACCTTCAAGGTCTTTTCCAACCTGAGTGATTCTATAATTCTACAATTCAGATGCTTTACAGCTGAGCAGTACCAAAAACACAGCAGCTCCTTTCTGAGAAAAAGAACTGGTCAGCTCTAACCACATCACTTGAAGGTGTAACACACTGCTCTAATGCAGCTTGCAAATCATTTGTAAGGTGCCTTTTGTCTTCAAATTTCTAAGGCAGGACGATGAGCTGCAATCTACTTGAACTGCAAACCAGAAGCAGAGTACTCACGTTACTGGATTTCAGCTCCATCGTTTTTTTCAGTGGGTCAACGACGGAGTGCTCCTGGACGTATGTCTTCGTTCTGCATGTGCCAATGAGCTGGGAGATGGGCACGGATACACACCATTAATTATGCTGAACAACTACTATTATTTTTAGTGCTTTTAAATGCACAGGCAGTGGTTACTGTATTGAACAGACACTGATGACTGAGGTTTAGTTAAAAATAAAACTACTCAGTGAGACAGATCTCATTTGTACAAGCGGAAGCAACCTAAGAGCTTGCCAATTTTTGGCTGTCTGGAATTCAGTACATGCAGCACTGTTAAAAACTTCCTCGTGCAGAACTGCTTGGACTCGTTACAAGCTCACACACCTCTATTACAACATCCTCACAAACTTCCCCCCCCCGCGGTCCCTTCCCAGCCGTGCCGCAGCACACGCACCGATTTCACAATGCCTGGGATTCCCCACTCCGTGCTGAGCAGCCTGTGGCTGTGCAGCTTCCCGCTGCTGTCAATGTGTCTGTCCAGGACGTCCACTCCGACCACGCTGGGGTTCATCGGGTTTGGGTACTTCTGCATAGCAGCTGTTGTTACAGTTTCCCAGGGATGACTGCCAAAACACAACCAAAGCACGAAGCCGGACGCCGCAGCTTTGTAACAGGAGTTCTATTCAAGCTGAACCAGGTTGTGCTTTTAAAGCGGTTCAATTTACGTTTCTTAACTGCAAACGTCCTTCCCCAGCAGGAAGCAGCCGTACTGCGGCGGGGCAGCGGCAGGCGGTGCGAACTGAGCGCTGAGCTCCCGGCTAACAGGGGCTCCTGAGGCCCGTTGCCTCCTGGTTTTAACGTGATACGAACGCATTCGCCGTGACATAACGCCGAAAGACTTAAACTTCTCGGGCCGTTACTTTCCCCAGGAAACGTGGGCTCAGCTGCCGCCACCCGCAGCGGTTTTTAAGCCCCCGGATCTCCCGGGAGCGGCCCCAGCACAGCCCGCGAGCGGCGGCCCGGAGCGGAACGGCCCCAAAGGCAACGGGAGGAGAGGCTGAGCAGCGCAAGGTCACGGGGGAGCGGAGCCGCGGCCGTCCCGTCCGGGCCGGGACCGGCACCGAGCCGGCCGGGGAGGCGGGGAAGCTCCCCCAGGCCCCGACCCGACGGAATACGAGGAAGAGGAGGAAGAAGCCGCCGCCCCGCTCCCTCAGCCACCCCCGCCCGGCACTCACTCGAACACGTGCTCCGAGGTCCAGATCTTCATGGCGGCGGGCGCGAGGCAGAACCGCCGCGGCTCTCCGGGAGCGGAGCCCCTCGGTCACCCCGCGGTGCCGGGCCGGGCCGCCGGCGGCAGCAGCGCCTGCGCAGCGTGGCGGGTCGCGGCGGCGCCCAATCCCCGCGCGGCGCAGCGGTGACGCGGAGGTCGCGGAGCCCTTGGAGTCGCGCGGAGGGCGTCGGGCGCCGCCCCGCGTCCCGCTCAGCGCGCATGCGCGTGACCCGGCCGCTCTCGAGCCGCGCCCAGCGAGCGCCGCCGGCATCACGTGGCACCGCGGGGCGCCCCGGGCGTCGCCCTGCCGGCGGCTTCGCGGCTTTGAAGTGACTTCTCCAGTCTCGCAGACCGCAGCGGGCAGGGCGGCAGCTGCCGCGTTTCTTGAGCCGTTTCCCGCGGCGATCGGCGGCGTGGCTCAAGAGTACAACGCGGTATCGCTCGTTAACCGAGAACTGATTCTGGATGCGTCTTAAAGCGTTTCAGATTGTGTCATTGCAGCTCGCTACAACGCGCGTTTCACAACACGCTGCCGCTTTGGCCCGGCCGGAATTCAGCAGCTGGGGGCGGCCCCGCCCCGCTCTCGGTGCCGCCGCCAGGGGGCGCAGCGGAGCCGCGCGGCAGCGCTGTTAGGTAACGGCGCTCCGTTTTGTAAGCGCGCGTGCCGCCCCAGAGCGATTTCGTAACGGCCGGTACGAAACTGCGGCCGCTCTTCGCCCTGTCGCGAAGCACCTCCGCACTGCTGCCCTGCGCTGCTTCTTCACGCATCCTTGAAGCAAGCTGAAGTGATGGAGGCCCCATCTGGAAAACTGCGTCCAAGTGTGGAGCCCCCAGTACAAAAAAGACAGGGAGCTGTTGGAGAGGGTCCAGAGGAGCCACCAAGATGATCAGGGGACTGGAGCACCTCCCCTGTGAGGACAGGCTGAGGGAGCTGGGCTTGTTCAGCATGGAGAAAAGAAGGCTGCGGGGTGACCTCATTGCAGCCTTCGGTACCTAAAGGGAGCCTACAAACAGGAGGGGAATCAACTCTTTGAAAGGGTTGATAACAGCAGGACGAGGGGAAATGGTTTGAAGTTGAGGGAGGGGAGATTTAGGTTGGACGTCGGGGAAATTCTTTACAGAGAGAGCGGTGAGGTGCTGGAACAGCTGCCCAGAGGCTGTGGATGCCCAGTCCCTGGAGGTGTTCAAGGCCAGGTTGGATGGGGCCCTGGGCAGCCTGGTCTAGCATTAGGTGGGAAGGTTGTTGGCCCTGCATGTGGCAGGGGGTTGGAGATTCGTGATCCTTGAGGTCCCTTCCAACCCTGGCCATTCTGTGAATAAACAAGCCACGTAATCCGTCATGGCAACAAACGCGTGGAGCTTCATCAGCGATGTCCTGCAAGGTGCCTACAGCAGTGCTGGAAGCGCCCGGACCAGTGCAGAAACAGCGCGGTTCTTCAGACACGGCGAGCAGAGCCCAGGGGTGCTGACGGGTGGCTGTGGCACAGAGCTGCACCCTGTCTCGCCCGGCCCTGGCAGGTGCAGATTGCTGGTGTTTTATTTTCCTGTCACATTCTGAAATATAGCTAACACTACAATAGTGCTGCATCACTTCTCGATCTGAAAGCAAAAGATTTGATGTGTTTGAGATGCTGACATTCATACACAGCATTAATGAAAACCATGCAGAGGTCCTGCCCTTTTCTGGAGCTAGATAGGCAACTTCCCACTGTTTGTCAGCCTGGCAGGAAACCTGCATCAGCAATGTTTTCTTTTCCACACGTACTTCTTAAATTATTTTCATTATACAACTCTTAATGAATGCCCTACCTATAAACTGTCTTTCACCATCAGCACTGAATTCAGCATCAGACTGTGACCATTTGGCAGAGTTTTCCTACATGTGCTTCTAAAAAAACCCTGTTGGTTAGCAAAGATTTCTTTTCAGTGCTTTATGAATCAGCTCCTCAATGCCTTCCAAGTCATTGCTACATCTCTGTCTGGATTCTTGTAAGTCCCAGTCTTTTCAGAAAGGAAGCACGGCAGCATCTTAGTGCAGGTTGGAACCAATTCCTCTGAGTTCTATTCAAGTTGTTTTGATCATTCTGGATTTCTGATTGGGATTAAAAAGAGACAGGAATGGGGAAATGTCACCACTCCACAATGCGTAATGCTCTGCAAACGTTGTTGCAAATGAGGACACATTTGCCAGGTTAGAACTGAGCTCTGAGTACACCACAGATGAACATTCAGGTGATTCAGTGGTAAGCAGCCACCTCTTTTTCTCTTCAGAGAAACTATGGGATAATGGTTTGTTTTTTAACCTGACATTCCACAGTATTCCAGTGACATTTGTTCTTCCTCCGCTGGCACTGACTCAGTATCTGTTAATATCATGCAACTCAGTTCAGCCCAAAATAAAACGCAGACCACTGTAAGACAACCAGGTGTCTGCATTTGTTTCCATATTTTCTCAGTTAACCTGGAGAGTCTTTTTTTTTCACCCTGTAGGATATTCTCTATGCTCTTTTTTTCTCATGTGAAGAAAAATTGGACAGTAGAAATAGCCAATAAATCCCTTTCCTCTCACTCCCCACATTCTGGTAAAGATGGTGCCATGCTGCCTATAAAATGCAAATCAGAATTTTTACAGGTTATCATTTTACACATTTTCATTATGCTGAGATTAATCATCACCTACGACGAGATGGAACAGCAGTAAACATGCCAGCTGTCAGGGAAAATAAACAGGAATATATATTATTATTCAGAAGAAAGGTTGACCTGATTTGTACGTTCTGTATGGAAAATCCACAAGAGGGGGCTCAATTTCCATAAGGTTCTCCACAAGACTTCATCAGAGGAAAGGATTCACCTCCTCACAAGCAAACTCACCTCCGTGTGCCTGCATCTCTAAGCACTGCCCTGAGGAAGGGGCAGATCTCTGATTCTCATCCCAAGCACTCTCAGAAGGCTCCGCAGCCTCAAATCCGAAGAATGATTTTCTGCAGAAACAAACAGTTCCCCTGCTTCCATCTTAAAATGGGATGTAACAGAAATTCCTTGCCGGTAACAAAACAGAAATATACATTCAGTGCTTTTTCAGTACTTCAAAATTCTGAGTGAAAACATAACAGCAATAAAACATCCCCAGATAATAATAAGACAGATTCCTTTTATATCCTCTAGATAAAGCCTGGTCCATTTGGCAGAAAGTTAAACCTACAAAGAAGAGCTAACTTTCTGCAGAAGCAGTTTGCTGATATTGCTGGTTACAGCAGCGTAACTGATAGAAGCCAAGAAATGGAGGAGACAGACACATGTCAACACGTGGCTGACAGCAGAATGATCTTATGCTGGTTTAAATCATTTCAGAAGGTACAGCCCAAGAGGCCCTGCAGTTGTCCAGCAGGGTTTTACACCACAGAAACCTGCTGCCCCTCCAACACTGGAGTTCTGTGCTGCCAGTGAAAGGATGGAAGGATGGTAATGGGCAATCTGATTTCTGACACAGGAGACATGAAAGAGCAGTAAACACACGTGTCCAGATCTCCACTGTGTCATCAGTACTGTAACAAGAGAAAGAAACATGTTTTCAGATAACATGTATATAAATAATGATCTTCCAGCATCTTTGTGTATTCACCCTCAGTATTTTCCCTGACCACGACGACAAGCAGAGATATGAGACAGGCTGCAGGAATCCTGTCAGACTCCCAAGATTCAGAACCTCTTGTTGCCTGGCCAGAAAGTTTCCAAAGCACCTTTTTATGCCAGGAATTTCAATCACATGTAAACCTATTCAATGGAAAGAAAGGGCAGAAAAGTGAACTGCTCACTCAGCAGCATCAAACCCAGATGCGTGCAATGTCATTCTCTGTGCTCTGTGTATGGAGACATGTATATGTATTTTTGCAGAAATGAAATGCACTGAAGCACAAACCACAGCACACAAGTGTGTCTCACACAGCTTTTCTTGTCTTTTGGGGAAATAAAAGATGACACAACAGGAAGAGTGTCTATAACATAAAAAAGGGAGAAAGAAACTTTGCTCTTGTGACTGAAACCAACAAGGAACAGAGTTCCACAGATTCATATGCAGATCCAGAAATTGTTTTCCAACAGGGACTGTATTACAAAGGTTCTTTCTGGTGTTTCTTAACGTGAATTATTTCTCTGTAACATCAAGCTTTGTATGACTGTAGTAAAATGGTGGCCCTGTTCTGAAGTGTGGTGATACAGGCAGGGTCAGAAAGAGGGGTGCAGTTTCTTAACAATACTATTGTACATTTATTTCCTGTTTCAAAATGGCCTTCATTTCCTTCTCAGACACATTTAGTCTGGTTTCAAAAATCATCTGTAGGCTCTAAAATAACATAAGATCTTGTGAAAGCCATCTGAGATTTATTTGTGGGAAGGAGGGAGTTTGGATCTGGACTGCCTCCATACTGATGTTTCCATTTACTCAAGAAAACAGTCAACTTACTAACACATCAAGATTATTTACTAGATTACGTAAATTACTTCAACACGTTTTGCAGAGAGTCATTTAATCCCTCTGTATGAGTGACATCAAAGGAGCAGAACAGCAGCACATCCTCTCACAAGGCAGCAGATCTCTGTCAATTGTTCATCACTTACAATGATTGTCAGCATTTTGAATAGGTGCCTGGCCTGCAGAACTGCCAGGCTTAGCAGTAAGTCACACTGCTTCCTCTGCTCACTTTTTACACACTAACAAACACTTCTGCTCTGGTTACCTCCTACACAAACACAACTCACAGCACTGCTGCCTGTGGCAGTAAGTTTATATCAGGAAACCTAGAAAGGCTAAAAATGATACTTCACTAACACCAAATTTTTATCCCCCAAAAATTTAGGTGCCAGGAACATAGTATGAGAAATATATAACACATACCTATGAAACAACAGCTTCTTTGACTTGCACAGATCTAAGAGTTTGTTTCTGGCTATAGAAACAGTTGCATCCTGTCCGTACCATCAGCGGGTGCAGCAGCTGCCACCAGGTGTTTGACTGAAGCGCAGATCCGCAGCAGTGCACAGTCTGTGGATGTACCACAACTCTTCTGTTGTCTAGGAAACAGTCTCTTGGAATCTGTGTAATATGACAATTA